CAGGATTCAAGAGCTAAGCACTTATGTCTACTACAGAATAAGCTCGATACATCTATAAGCAGAGTTAATAAACATTTAAATTTCTGTGTAGTTGATAAAAGCACTCTTCTGATTTGGCTTTGAGTCACCTCTTTCTATACTCTTAGAGTTGAGTAGAAGGACACTGAAATTATTTCCCTAGGCAAAATATAGTGCCCTCCTGATAGAAACATTAGAGGCATAAGAAGTGTGATTAAGTATTGTCTTTGCTATTTTTGCAAATTAAAAAAAATACAAATAAACTGCAAAACTCATCACCGCATTAACATTTGGCATGGGCTTCTGTGACATAGCAAATGTAAGAAGGAGAATCTAGAAACAGGTACTGTCGGGGAGATAGGGCTTCTATAGGTGTGAATCTCAACTTGAAAAACTGCAAGGGACACGATTCCTGATTCTGTGGCATTGCTGTGTGTTGGTTCCTCTATTTCCTCAAATTCAGGTTCCTAGATTGTGCCAACTCTCCTGCCAGCTAGTTTCTATGGATTCAGTATTTATGGACCTAACAACACAATAAAGACACCATTATCTTCCTTATCCCTTAGAATCTGTGAAGAGAAACATCTTGTTCTTTATAACTACTACATATTTCAGTGCAGTTCTTACAAGATGCAGAACATATTTAACATTATAACACACACAGTGCAAGTTTGTACTGGTAACTGCACATCTGTACAGAATAAAGTCTTCACATTTCAGGCCCACAGTTTGTTAAGAAGGTGATATGATCATATAACTGTTCTTTACTGCTCCATTTGCACAGTGATAGCCATGTAATGGAGTACAGCTTCTCAGATATTTTATCACACAGGCCAATTGGAAAATATACCCAGTTTTGCTCTAATCTTTGACAGCGGACCAATATCAGCAACAGGCATTTAGACTTTTACTTAAAGTTACATTACTGAATGATTTTTTTTAAATTGCTTCAAAGATAATGCACATTTATTAATGAAGTAACACAGGAAGACGAGTAGGAACCAAAAGCTCAGGTGGACTTCAGGTTTAGTATTTCTTGAATTTAGTTTAAGATGTTTTGCCTTATTTTAATTATCATGCCTTCTGATTATTTCATGAAAAATTAATGCACTGAATTGAACCTGTAATATATTTATCAATCATTGGCAGAATAATCCATTCCTAAGATATTCTGTTTGAACTGTTTCTGCGTATATTTACCCAACAAACTAGCCCTTTCTGCTAGCGGTGCCGTTATTCAAGAATATCAAAGCAAAATTTGAGAGACCACACAAAGATATCTGTCTTATTGAATTTTACTATTTGGGTACTACTGCATTCAGATAAATTATTTTTAATTGCAGTTGTGTCTCAGGAACACTCAGCTTTAATTATGAGCTTGATCACTTAGATTGACTGGTGCTGCATAAACCTAGAACAAAAAGAGCACCATCACTCACTTCTCTCATCTGGCTTTTCTCAGCTAATCAGTTGCTAATCTTATACAGACAATGAAATAATTTATTTGTTTTCATTTTTGTTCCCGTAAAACTCATTTCAGCAGTGGATGGCAGAGTGTATTTTTTTCATCTAAATGAGCAAGGTAAATGCATTTTAGCAACGACCAGCTTTGTTGCAGCATCTAATCAGATTTCCATTTTGCAAATGTAGGCCTCAGTACTGCAAATACATATGCATGAATGATGTATATAGTCCCACTGAACTCAGGCAGTGGCATCAGGATTTTAAAGTTATCCACGTAGTTCTAATACTGTAAACTTTTATGACTGGCAATTCTAGGATCCTAAATCTGAAAAATAACACTCTGCCCTTAAGGCTTCAAAATTTTCATTACCAAAGCTCCCTACGCTTCTGTTAGTTGGTGTGCACTTAGCCCCCCCCGCTCCCGCCATTGATGGCACTAAGCAATTTGGTGCCTTATCCATATCAGGATCGTAAGTCTCTGTTGCTGAGACTGAACCTCAAGGTAATTTCAAAATCTGTCATGATGTCTTCTCGTGCTGCTGGGAGCCCAGCCACTTCAATAAGGGACACTAATTACATTAATCAGCAGAGCTCCCAAAATTAGGGTGCTGGAGGACGAATTTTTAGGCTCATATAATACCATACACCCAAACTCTAATGGTATATATGCTACAGTATGGTAACCACTGAGTGTTTTAAAGGGCCATTTCTATAGAAATTCCTTTTTGCCCTTATGCAGAGCGCACAAAATACCACGAACATTCTGAATGTTAAGCACTGTGATATTCAGCAGGTCTTCGTCATAAAATTAATTAAAAAACAAAAATATTTTCCTTTTTTTCAGATATTAAGGCAGCTCAGTTAGCTCTATTAGTACTGCTGTTCCTCCTGAAAAATTTCTAACACAGAACAATGTGGGTTTTAGCCCTTTTGTGCATAGAATATCCTGGGATGGGCCTAGGACGTGAGCTGCAGTTTGTTCTTGCAAATTCTCTGATTCTGTTTTATTTCTGCAAGTGACTAGATACTTTCCACTGTAGTCTTTCTTCCTTTTCTCCATGACAAGAAGAAAGAACAATGCAGTAGTTGGAAAAAAGAGAAAGATCGTCAGTTTATTTGGAACTGTACCAAATAACGAAATATTTCCAGTTGGAAAATCAAGAATACTCGTCCTTGTTAACACTGCTCACTAAAGAAAATTTAGAGACAAGTTTTTGTTATTAAAAAGTTCAATACATTTAAATAATTTATATTTTCTCACTTCCCCAATTACAGGACTATTACAACATTTTAGGTTTCCCTAATTCAATGGGCACATTTGATTGGACCATGTATTTCACGTTTAATAAAGGGCCATAAATTTAATAGAAACTAAGTTGATTTAATTTAACATACGTAGTGGAAATATGATATAAATTATACTATTTTAAATTTCTTTGGTATAACATAAACTCACATCTCCATTAAGCTCCTCTGTATTTTAAGACACATTTACTTTGTAAATATGATCTTGACTTACAAAACTTAAGTTACAGTATTGAATGCTAAAGCTATATTTGGGTATTTAAAATGTAAACATGATAAAAATGAATTACTACAGCAGCATTTTGCATACACAGCTGTTATTTCTAATAGATGCACTACAGAAGAATTAGTGGGCAGGGTAGATAATCAAAATTAAAAGCATGCATTAGAGATGAATGAATCGGATTTAGTGAAATACATTTTGACACAGCAGTTGTTTCTTGTCAGTTCAATGAGTTTTACTTAGGGGATATCACTTCTGGCCATAATCGACATGCTTCAAATGATAATCTGCTTTACACACAATGGCTTTTTGTCTGAATTCATGCAAAGTTTAATAAGAGCTATACTTCTGATTTTTCATGGTTTATGGCATTTAATAGTGAATTTTAAGACTGTGTTTATAGAATGGCATGCATTCAAGAAGACAGAAAAATGAGAGTTTCCTTGCACAGTTAATATATGCTTGTACTGTCTTGAGTAATGTCTGATCTCAATTAATTACTTCTTTAAAAGGATATGGTCCCATTTTTAGCATATTTATCCAGATCAGAAAGGATGAAGTGTGTCTCAGTTGAGGTGTGAGCATATCAGGGCATAATGACTGAATAGTATTTATAGATGTATTCAAAGAATAATGAAGTCACTGAATATAACGGGAAAGATTTATACCCACACACCAAAGCAGTTATTTCCTTCACTGGAACTCAAAATGTCAGTATTTGTGGGCAGATAGTTACTCTTAGAAAGTTCTGAATAATATACTTTGAACAATAATTTGTTACTGAAAAGTTAAAAGATATTTCCAACTGTAGGTAGCTTATTCTCAACAGCTCATTAGCATTGGACTAAAGCAGAAAGGAAATATTGCAAAGAAGCAAAATAGATGAATGAAAGCTATATAATTTAGATGTAAAAACTACTCCCTGTTCCTTCTTGTTCAAGCTATTATATGTGGCTCAAGTGTATCCTTGTCGTTCAAGCTATTACAACAATAGAAACCATCTAGTTTTAGATTTCAACCTTAAAATCTTACTTTGTCCAAATCTATTAGATTCTGAGAAAGTCTTAATGAAACCTGAATGAGACTAGAAAGCCTTTTATTTTTTTTTTCAGTTGTCATAACCAGATAAAATTTATTCAGAAAAAGTTTGGAATATACATCCAGGGATATACTGGAAAGTTAGTATATCACATATTGAGAGGAAGTAGAGCTATTTTCCCCGATGATATCCCATGCAAATATTCAGCTGAGAGAGGGAAATAGAAGGAAAAAATACTTGTCCTTTACAAAGTCTGGCCCTTGATTAGTACTTCTACTATGGCTTTTGCTGTTTTATTTAATCTTATACACACCTGCATGAGGTACAGATTAAGTGCAGGAATCTGAATATTAAAACTGAATGCCTTTTAATATCATAATATGCCATAGTCAGCTAACGTGGGAAGATTACAGTCAATTGCTTTCCCTTGCTTTGTACCAGTTTCAGAGAAAAGTATTTTTTCAATTCAATTAATATGTCGCTCCTGCAGAAATTTTCATTCATTGTTCTCTTTGAAGAATTTGTACCTAACAATTCAAAAGGACATAAATCCATAAACATAGCTTTGAGAATCCACCATTTCACCTCAAGTAAAAGGAGAAAGTTCTGAGAGTGAAAGGCCTATTTTATCCTTCATGGGCTGGGGAGGGTAAGATTTTCCCAAGCACCCAAGAGAATTGGATGTTTAGCTGATTTTGATGTTTTTGTTAATTCCATTAATAGACTACCTGACTACTAAGATTTCACAAAGGATGCATAAGACTGGCTTTTTTTTTCTAGTTCAGTATGGTTTAGAATGGCAGATAACACTTTTTGGTTAACAGCTACAAGACCCCCTGTATTTTCTCCTTTTTATGACATTTAATCAAGTCATCACTATTTGGTTTGTCCCGGCTTTTCAAATTTTGCAGCTGACTTAGAGTTTATTTGCACCTTTTTTTTTTTTTTTTGTTTGGTTACAACAAAATGAATGATCTCATTTTTGAATGGCAAGAAAAGGGAGCAGTTCAAGTAGCAGAAGGTCTCACTCTGCCACAGTTTCTGTTGAAAGAAGAAAAGGATTTATGTTACTGCACCAAGCATTATAATACAGGTAGGAAAGCCTATTAGTGATTAAAACTGGAAAAATATTTAACATTTATTGTTATTTTGGAGAGTTGTGTTGGGTTTTTTTAAATATTGTCGCTGAACTCACGAGAAGATTAAAATGTACAGATGCATTGTGCAGGATAATGCAGTCTTAAATAACTGACACAATGAAACAAAACTACATGAAGGCTGATCAAACGTCTATTTCAGTAAGCTTAAGAAAATACACAGTTGAAATAATTCAGAAGCAATTCACCCAGGAGTTCTATTTTTACAGTGGGTGCCATGACCACACCTACACTGTGGGATATGAAGCACTGCTGAAATCCAAAGGTCCATAAGCTGTGCACTAAGCATGGCTTGGCTCAGTCAGGAAAAAGGGACACAGGGTTTCCAAGCCAGCTATCCCTGCCCTAGTTCATACAGCAAGGGGGCAATGCAAACAAACTGAAGGCATCCTTAGTGTACAATGGCCAGGTGTCCAAACTAGACGTGACATTTCTGAGTTGAAGCCTTTGTGAAACTACTATGTTTAGCTCATCATCTCTGGGATTATTTGAAAAAGCGGGGGGGGCGGAGGGGTGTGTGTGTTAACAATAATATAGTTATTTTATTTTTAATTGTAAAAAAAATCTCAATAACTGGAAAATCACAAGCAAAATAATCCTCAAAAAACATGTAGCAAAGGCTAAGTATGCATGGTTTCCATCTTCTCATGGGGGAAAAAAGCTAGAACTCTTTCATTCTAATCCATATCTCTTAATTTCTGCTGTCCAATATGATTCTAGATTAAACATATCTTGAAATTTAAGTTTAGAATGATTTATTTGGATTCTGCTGAAATGGCAGAGGGGAGAAAATTCAATAGGTGGCGTTCATAAGGAATGTCCTGTTGCAATCAAAATTAAGGAAGAGTTCTTTTCAACACTGAGTTTTATCAGAGCAGCCATGGTGCCCTAAGGGAGGGAAAGGTTCTCTAATAATTTTCATTTAGAGTGGGGAAATATTGACAGAAACTTTTTGAAGTGTTCCCTAAAATAAATCAGAAATACATAACATACACTTTTACTGTCCAAATACTAATATCTGGCTAATCCTTAAAAACCTTCCAAAAATGGAGATACATATCCTATAGCAAGGTAATTTTTTCACTCAAACATCCCTTTGTTAATGATAACAATGAAATTCATATTATTCCTTTTTTCTTTTTACCATAATCCTTATGATAAAGAAGAAAACTTTGTTTTCATTATTTTTCTGTCTCCTTTGAGATATATAGGCAGCCTCTTCTTTCTTTTTAGGACTCCTCTGCTTCTGTGCCATTTTAACATGTGCCTGTAACTGTACTTCTATAACCTGTTTAGCGATATTAACAAATGAGAATTTGTGGTAGAAAGTATTCTCATTTTTCCAAAGTTCATTTGGACAATATGATGTATCAAAAATTTCTAACTGAGGAATTAAAACATTACTGTGGTACTTAATCTAATATTGAATGGAAACCTGGTTTAAAATGTCAGACTTTCTGGTGATTTCCAAACATCTCATCCAAAGCTGAATTGTACTCATTCATTTGTCTGAGAACTTTCATTACAATCATCATCATTTAAACCTTTTGATTTTGACTGAAACTTCATTTTTTTCAATATTTTTGAGCCATTACCTTTTTCTTCATAACCTGTGTTTCAAGCCTATTTAAATTGGTACTAATTTTCTTCCAAGCAGAAATAGAAAAACATGCTAGACATAACACACTAGGTTGCATGGGGTCAGCTTACATCTACTGTCCTTTTCACTGTGGCCCTAAACTGATCTGAGAAGTGGAAGCAACAGATATTATTAACTGCATGTGAGGTCTCACGACTCTCAAAATGTGCCTGCAAGACAAGTGCGCTTATCCCTGTGAACTGCTGTCACATTTAGGTGGGAGAAGGGGTTCACTGTCAACTCTAGAGGACAGCGTAGCCAATCATCAGTCTGTTATATTTCTGTATTGCGTTGGCCAAACTGCATTGCTGTGGCCAAACAGGTGCTCTAAAATGTGAGTGCAGCCCACAACCCTGAAAAGATGGCTGAACTTCATGCCTCTACTTAAAAAAATCATTGGGCAATTTAATTTGTCTGTAAAAAGTCAAGCCGTTTACTAATACAGAAAACTTGGAAGCCTGCACACAGGCACCCACCATACACTTCAGGATGGAGACTTTAAAAGACCTCAGCAAGCAAGAAGACAATTGCACAGCTGTGGGACCTGCCTATGACTGGCAGGGGGAAAAAAAATGCAATGCTGAGTGACACCGGCTGCAGACAGAAGGGTATGTCCCCACCAGAGTGGCCTGCTCTGAGTTACAGCACCAACATTACAGGTACAAATCTGGAAGAACTTTGGCAGGGCAAACCAGAAAGGAAAGATAGTCTTACTCATGCAGGACTACGTGTATTGTGACATTCTCCTCTTTAAGGTAACTATTTTCTCCAGTGTATTTATTTTTTTATTCAAGTCTTCAGTATGAAGTTAATTTAATCAAATTAGAGGGGTTTGGTTTGGTTTGTAGGAGGGTGGGAGTGCCTTTCATTTCTTTGTTACAACAAGTATTATTAACTACCGTGTGTAGGCTAAAAAACCCTAAACATTATATTAAAAGACAACAACAACAACTAAAAGTTTCTTTTCCTCCATTATGTCATATAATAGAATCATAGAATCATAGAATGGTTTGGGTTGGAAGGGATCTTAAAGATCATCTAGTTCCAACCCCCATGCCATGGGCAGGGACACCTTCCACTAGATCAGGTTGCTCAAAGCCCCATCCAACCTGGCGTTGAACACTTCCAGGGAGGGGGCATCCACAACTTCTCTGGGCAACCTGTTCCAATGTCTCACCACCCTCACAGTACAGAATTTCTTCCTTATATCTAATCTAAATCTACCCTTTTTCAGTTTAAAACCATTACCCGTTGTCCTATCACTACACTCCCTAATAAAGAGTCCCTCCCCATCTTTCCTATAGGCCCCCTGTAAGTACTGATAGGCTGCAATAAGGTCTCCCCGGAGCCTTCTCTTCTCTAGGCTAAACA